TTAAGTTAAATCTTCAAAGAGAATAGCACAACATAATGTTAAAACAATTTTACAGCATGTTATTTAATTGAGATGCTTAATACTACTTTTGTGTGAGAAAAGGCAGATAACCTGCATTGCCATCTCATCACTGCATATTTTGCAGTGAAGACGTTCATCTCTAGGAGCCATCCTCACTTACACATAGTGTGTCTGAACTCGTGCTGTCACTGTTGCTCATGTGAAGCAGAAGAGCACTGATGTTTGTATTTTAGGAGGGCTTTTTTACACGTTGTTTGGTCAGATGCAAACAAGGAAAATAATTTCAGAGAAATAAAATTAAAGGTCTCTGTGTAAAAGATGGGGGGTACTTATGCACATTAGTCACATGAACAAAAGTAAGAAAAACCTTTAGAAATCCCTTTTTTTTCTGTTAAAAGGTGGTGTAACCTGCATAATTTTGGAAGGAATTAAAAAGTGTATGCTGGTTTTCACAAGCAAAAAACTCTTTGCTGATTTGGCATAAACTCTTCATCTGTATGATGCCACTTTTCATTCTTCAGTTCTTTGGTCCTTTTTCACCTACCATCTTGTTTTACAAAACGTTACTTGCAAAGGTGTTTCATTAATGTGCCTGTAGCTTTGAAAGGTTTGTGAATATTTGTAAAGTTGAATCTTGGATCTAGTAAATTTAGGGGGAGGTGTTCATGCCTGATGTAAATTTTTTTTTTCTTTAGATCAAATCACTAGTATTTGTGAACTTCCTCATGTTATCCTTTGAGGGCTAATAGCATTTACTGCAGTTGTTGTTGTTATTAACGTATCAGCTCTAATGCTATTTATTACTCTAAATAAACTCCACGACTAAGACTTGTCTTGGGATCTAACACAGCAAGACTGTTCAAGTGTGAGACACTTCCCAGCTCACTAATCTGTTGTGGTATTTTTGATACCTTTATTCTGTGTGTGTGAGGTTTGTAATAAGCACTACCTGTATGCAATGAATGATTGGGATAAAAAATGTAGATATGTCCACCGATGAATGGTGGCTCCTTGTTTGTTCCAGTATTTGCTATCCATATCTTTTTGAATATTTAGTAATTGCCAGGATTTACAGAATTACAGAATGAAGAATACACATTTTGGGCTGTTTTGGGGGAGGTTTCATTTATTATCCTTGCATCATTACAGTTAGGGGTATAAATCTCTAAGAAACAGTGGGAGGAAAAACTATACTTCAAGCATGTAAAGTTATTGTCACTTAATAAGAGCACGTCTTAAAAAAGGCATTGCAGTGACTAGGATTAGTGGTTTAGACTCAGTTCCAGCTAGCAGATTATGTTGGCCTTGTTATGCTGCCCTTTGAAACTTTCTGATGGTAACCAAGATGCTTTTAAGCCATTTAATTCTACATTAATTTAACTTTCTATTGTACAGGATTGTCTGGATTGCTTCATCTATAAAATTGTTTTGATAACATTCAGTTAAAGGGTATATAATGTCATTAACAGAGATTTAAACATTGGCGTGATGTAAATGCGCCTGAATTATTCCAGGGAATTTGGTAAAGAAGAGAATGATGCCCAGTGGGCAGATGAGAGGGAAATGTAGAGATGCTTTTTTTGACAGGTGAGTGCTGTAATTGTCTCTTCTATAGTTCCTCTGTTTTACCAACTGGCCTCTAATCTCATATTCCTCATGCTCTACCTACTGTGTTTTCAACAGCTGCCCAACTGACCAGCTCCTTACAAGCCTCATCTGTGACAATATGGGGAAATGTAATATAGGCTTGTGAAAAAACTGATAACACACACCTCTAACCCCTGTTGATACGACTGCGATTTGAAGTGCTATAAAAATCATGTATTAATTAGATGATTACATGTTTTACTAGTTGATACTAGCAAATCCTTTGCTTACCTTTTAAGATGTGATTCAACCCAGCCTTGGGTTTTATTGAATGTGAGCCAGACTTATCATTTTTTGATATGATGAGCAGTGTGATTGATTGACCGGTGTGTAAACAGCTGATTGCAAATGAGTTTTATTACTCAAGTATGGCTACAGCAACATTTAAAAACTGAGCTGTAACATGAGTGCCTTCGTCTCTGTTCTGTGTAGCCAACAAGAAGGAACAGGATTTGTTGTAAGAAAACTGATATAGAAAACTCTATCCAGAATGTTTAAATCAAGCTGACAAGAAATTTTTCTGTTAGCTTATACAAAAACAGATTAGGTATATCAGCATGACAAATTATAACTGATAAATCGTGAAGAAATTGACAGTATCAGGAGGGGAGAGGAGGCTGTGGTTATTTAAACACTCTCTTAGTATTTACTCTAAATTAATTGTTTCCGTGGTGGTGACGGGAAAGACCAGCCTGTCAGCCTTTTGCCACGACACTGTTGTTATAATAAATATTACCACGTGCGGCTTCATCCTCTCCCCCGAGTGTTGCAGGGGCCTTGCTGGGGCTGCAGGCAGAGAGAGCAGTGGCAGCGCTGGAGGAGCCACCTCTGCGCCTGCCCTTCCCGCTTCTGTCTGGCTGCTTTTTCCAGCTGCTTTCCCCTGTTTGCATTAGTTTCTCCCATTTCGACCTGTTTCCATCCTCTGCAGGACTGTCTCCAAGGCACTCTCTCTCCCTCTAGCAACTCTTCCCACTCATTTCAGCACCTGGCTGAAGGGCTGAAGGGCACAGCTCCATTTCTTCATCGGGCTGCTGCATAATGCACAGCAAAGAGCCCAGCAAAAATCAGGGGAAAAGGATGGGCCTCCAGTTATGTCTCACAGTATGCTGGAGTGAGGCAGGTGACGTTTTTCCCAGCTTGCTTCAGTGAAAATGATGATACCCACTGTCATCCTCCTGCTCTCAGCAGGAGGTATCCGCAGGGCTGGAAGGTCCCTTGGTCTGGCAACCTGAATCCCAAAACAACGTCAGTGCGTGTCCCTTCTCCTGCACCTTCTTTCTCCACCCACTTGAAAGGTCATGGCTAGGGACTTTCAAATGCTCTTCATGTACCATGCATTAACGCATGCTTAGATTAATTTATATTTAGTTTATCAAGTTATAATTCAATTATTTTAGTTAATAAGTGATAGAGGTAATGTGGCTCCTGGTTGTCTGAAATAAAACCCAGAAAGGTTTAAGCATGTGCCATTTCAGCTCCAAAATAAACTACTTCAAAACTTAGGTCAGATACTATTGAATGAGAAAAACAGGAATGATTTGTCTCAGTTTTATTACTCACTTCATATTTTTTCAATTTTCTTTAGGTGGGGGGTAGTGGAGGATCAGACTGGCCTCTTGCGTTTGAACAAGTGGGCTGCAGAAAGGCCTTGGGATACCTCTGGAAATGCCTCGTGCCCCAAGAAAGTGAGTGCAGCCCTGGCCAACGGTGTTACAGTGGGTTTTGCATCTGTGTTTTCCTTTTTGGAATAGTCAGCCAAGACAAGTGGACTACGGGAGGTGAGTGTTAAGCCAAGATTGCTCTTTTGAATTATTCTTGCATTTTCAGTGTCAAATGTTCATTCTGTTTGCATGTAGGAGAGGAACAAGTGTAAAGGTGAGCTGGAGGTTGTGCTGTTTGCTTAGATTCAGCCCCTTAGTCTGCTGTGGATTTCTTTTCTTACCTTGGCTAATTGCTTCATCTCTCTCTGTTGACTACAAAATGGGAAAGCAGCACAGCCAGGCTTCACCGCGGAGTGGTGAGGATACATGGATGCTCTGCTCCTGTGGGAGGAGGTGTCTCTTGCAGACAACCAAATGGGGCAGGCAGGGAGGAAGGGTTTTTGTGAGGCATTGTAGACCCATCCAAAGCAAAAGGACCTGACAGCATTAGGGGATTTTTGCTATCTTCAATGTCTGTTGGCAAAGCAATATGGCATGACGTAGCCTATCTGCCACGTTTAAGGCATGGGCACATTTTTGTGAGAAGATAGAGAAATCAGCTGAAGGGAATGTATTTTATAACTCTGATTTTAATTGGAATAAAAAAATTATTGGAAGTGGCATCTAGGATCACAAGGACCATGAAATGATATGGCTTGGGACGCTGCAGAACAGCACAAGCTTTAACAAACCTGCAGTTAAACAACCTTGAGTTAACTCAGGATTCAGAGGTTCAGATTTCATTGGAAATGCATGTGTGGGGCAACTGTTTCTCCTTAAAGAAACATTGTCCTGAGCAAGAATGCAGAGAAAATACCGGAAACGGGGTAAGAAACCAACCTGCTTTAAGCAAAAGTCCTAAAAGCCTGTAGAAAGGAGCTAAACAAGAGAACCTTTATTTTTTGAATTATTAAAATTTTGATACAGTTATGAATGACGTTCTGCAGCTAATTATCCCCAAATACCTGTAAGTTTCTTGAAAGAAAAGAGTTGGCTTAAATTACATTGAAAGAGTTAGGGCAGACACTAGGAAAAAATTTTGTGAAGAAAAGAGTTAAGCATTGCCCTAACAAGGTTCTTCCCTAACATGACAGACGGTCACCTGCCAGTAACGGTAGGGACATAGCTGGTCCTGTCTTGGTTAAATAGATGACCTCTGGCTCTCCCTTGCAGTGCTCTTGTCTTCCCTGGTGAAAGATTGCTTGGCACACAGGTGAACTGAGGTTATGTTAATACCTTAGAGAACTGTTGATTTCTCTGCTACAAGAGCAGATCCTAAAAAAAAAATGATGTTCACTTTTTCTATTTGCACTAGACTTTCAAAAGAAGATTGATGCCCATATTAATGGAAGAACACTTATCTTCAATATAAAAAGACTTACAGTATGGTAGGACCTGCAGTGAAATCTGTAAAACTAAAATAAGTTCTCTGATTTTTTTTTTACTCTAAACTGTGGTTTGCCACATTGCCGTTCTTGGATGCTGTGGCTGCATTGCCACTGCAGTTCTGCAAACTACTAAGGCATTTGTATGAAATTGCAATGTTGCAGTAAGCTATCAAAACAATCCATATTAATCGACAATTGTATTTTCTGCAAATCTTCTTAATTTGGCACCAAATGGCAGATTTTACTAACCTACTATAGAGATGGGTGGGAGATCTTGGAGATTCATTTTGTTGTTTCTTGACAGGTTGCATTCTGTCTTCTCTTCAATTACCATATGAGAACTGGCAGCTCTGAGCAAACTGTAGCAGAGCAATAGGCTTAGGAAGAGGTTCTTACTTTCCATTTTGGGGAAGAAAAATTCCATCGTCATGAAAACCGAAGGTGGTCAAAACCTGCATGTAGAAGAGACGCAAGGATATGAATCTCAGCAATGGTTTTCTGTCATGTTGTGCAGCTTTAGCAATGTACCTCTGACAATTCTTTTGTTTCCAGCACTTTGCCTCTGATACCAGAATACCTAAGATTGCAGTTGTCTGAGTGGAAAAATGCTATCTCAAATATAACTTGGATGGTCTTTTTTTCTTTTTTCCTGATTCTTTTCTCAAATGGTTTATTTTCCCAAAAGCTGTGAGTGAGTTCTCCCCACTGAGTTTTACAGTGTTGTTTATTGTATTACCAAGGGGAGAGGAACTTCTGCTGTCACTTTTGACCAGCTCAATCACATAATCAGATTTTTCCCAGAAAAATCTTGTTTACAAGATTTATAAGATACTAGAAAACCTAGAAAAATAATGATAATTTAAAAACACACAAATTATGTTTCCTATTAGTTTTCTCCACTTAAAAATAAGTCATGAAGAAATATCTTGTTTTATTATACCCTGATGTGGCTGCTCTGATCCCATAGTGAATCATAGCCATAAATTATGCAAGTTACAAAAGGCCCAGTGCTTTATAAAACATTTATGGGCCTTAGGGTTTAGCGTGTACTTAATAATTTCTAAGATGTAACAAAGTCTATGGGATCTGAGCATACTTATGGAGAAACCTGAGCTTTGCAGAATGTGGCCATACACCTTGGAAGAAAGCCACTGGCCCTGGCCAACCTCTGCGTGACGCAGTGCAGCTATACAGGGTCCACAGAGCGTATCGCCATCCTGGTCTCCTTTTCTTGTAGGTTCTTAACACTGTTGAAGTTGAACTTCAAAGTTGATTTTTATTTCCACGTGCATAAGGTTTATGCTGTGTCAGAGTTATGGGAGCCTTCCCCCCGCGGCACTGCCAGCCTCCAGGTTTATGGGTAGTTTTTTGTCAGTGAAAAGCTACTAGTGGCAGTAAAAAGAGGGAGTGAAACCAAATGTTTTGAGCAATTAATCTGGTTGTAATGACTTAATTACTAGAGAGTTAAAAGATAAAGAGTTTCTGCATTGGAAGAGCTTCAACCTAGTTGCCTCTGCTAAACTGAGTCTGTATTACACTTGCTTTTACAGCCTCCATTGACCCACTCTTCCTTGTGAGGTGTCGAATATCATGCCTCTAATTCCAAGTGCTTGGGCTCATTTCTAAAATAGTCTGTTCTACAGGCCATGGTCATGTAACAAATCAGTGCTGGTTACATCGACACGGCTTTCATTGCTGGTTATAGCTATGCCATGAGGATACGCACCCAGATCTATCAGGACTCTATTAGGATTTGCAGGGGCGTATGTGCTGTATCTTTGTGATTTAGACATCTGCGTGAGCTGCAACTGAAACAGATATATCTGAGATTGGAGCTTTACAGTAGGGGGATTAACTGGGGAACTGAGTGCTGCTATGTCTGTATTTCAAATGTTATGCAGCTGGGGTAGTTCAAAGCTGGTATGAAAGCCGAGACCCAAGCTGGATCATAGTCATGACTGTGTATAGACGTATCCTTCGAATGAGTTGATTAAAATTTTGTAATAGGAGATGGGAGGAGTCTTTAATTTGATCACAAATCACCTACTGGAGGAGAAAGTACATTTTCTTTAGAAGAAAATAAAAATTGCAATAAACAAAATGAACAAGTCCTGCCATGAAAATTTGTTGTGATGGTAAAATTGTGGGCTTGAATTTTCAGCTATTGCAATTTAGTAAAGAATCAAGATGGCATGTCTGTTTTCATTTTTTACATACTTTGATCTTGCAAACTCTTATACAGAAATTCAGCCTTTGCCTGTGGTAATTGCCTATGAAGAATGGTAAGTATGTGAAAATATTTGCTAGGTCAGGAACCTAGCCTGAAATTTTTTTTCTATGCGGAACAGATACCCTTTTATTATTTTTTCCTCTCTCCTTTCACAAAAGATGCCCAAACCTGACTGAGATTTCTTGATGCTTTCTAAAGACTGTTCTAACACATAGTTATATATGTAGATAACCATTTAGGTCATAACCATAACCATTCAGGTCAAAATTAGAACTTCTTTTAATGTAACTAATTTTACCAACCTGAGTATCCCTGGTGATGTTCATATTCTAGGTATATGCTTAAAATTCAAAAAAGAGCTGAATAACAGTTTGTGTTCCCAAAAGCTTGTCTACATTTTCCAAATATGCAGTTGGTCAAATAAAATATATTACTTAAAAAATCTTAGCTTGCTTAACATTTAGGTATGCTGATTTTCACAGGATCTAGGCATACAGGGAAGGAAGAAATTTTTTACGCTGAGGGTGGTGAAACACTGGAACAGGTTGCCCAGAGAGGTGGTGGATGCCCCGTCCCTGGAAACATTCCAGGTCAGGTTGGACGGGGCTCTGAGCAACCTAGTTGAAGATGTCCCTGCCCATGGCAGGGGGGTTGGACTAGATGGCCTTGAGAGGTCCCTTCCAACCCAAACCATTCTATGATTCTATGATACAGGGCATGTCTATGACAGGTAGATGTAGACATTTGGGCTCTAATTCTTTTCATGCTCTGAGCTGGAGTGAATGGCTGGCTGTGAGCTGGAAGCTGTTTGGATTTGCACATAGTGGTGTTCACGCTGTAGATTTTGCTTTTTTAAGCAACTTTTTAGCCTAGTTGCAGGATATGCTCTGATCATACCTATCTATCATACCTATGATTTTCAGATCAGTGTGTGCTGCCCATCTGGAGTATTGGCATAGCTGGCACATAACCGTCTGCTGGACACCATGTTGACATGCCCCCAAAGTACAGTTTAAATAAACTTCTTCCATCCCAAAATGTTGTTTCCACTGTACTTCCTTGTCTTTATCTCAGCAAAACTGCCAATGAATGTGATTGAGCCTGCGTAAATGTAATAAAATAGTAAAATTTTACAGTTACATCTGTTCACTTCAGAGTGACATCTGAACACGCTCTAGTGTTAAAATGTAAACCTAGCTGCATGTGTTGATTTGCATTCTTGGGCACAGGGTTTTTTTGCCAAAAGCACTTAGGTGGTAGGAATTTTACAGCCTTCAAGTGACTGTTTGAACCTGGAAAATGTGTATATTGGTGAACATGCATTGATCTGAAAACTATACCAACTGGCTAGAAAGGTAGCACTCTTTAGAGCAGCATAGTCTGCTAGATGCGTGCAGCAGAATTCATGAAAAGGTGAAAAAGGTGGAAAGTGGAATCAGAAGCGAAGAAGAGAAGAAAGGTGCTTGTAATCTTGGGTTTCATCTTTTGCATCGTATCACAAAACCCTTGCCCAAGTTTGCTTTCTTTTTTTTTTGGCATTAAAGAGAGATTTACTTTCCAATTTTGCCCATTATTTTCCTAATTTTCCTTCTGGGACTCATCAGAGGCTGTTTAAGACAATCAAACTATTTTCCTTAGCTCCAGCAAGCTTCACATCTGCTTTTCTATGAACACTTATTTTTAAAAGAATTTATTTTCCTGTTGAGTTCCTAACAATGGAGAAGTAAATTGCTTTAATAGTAGTATCTTTAGAGGGTAACCATTTATTGCTTTAATGATGCTAAAATGTACTAGGAAAACTTTAATATTTTTTAATTGTTGTTTATGGGGACTTAGTCTTGCACAGTGCTGAAATCTAACCACTGAACTTTAGCAAATTATGTAAGTAAATAGTTCACATGTGGCAGTGCCCTTTGTTGTCAAGGGAATGACAGAAGTACATTTAAAAACAAAGCAAAAGCAAGCATTTAAATGTTTGTTGACTGTCATGAGAGATCGCAGTACCCCTTTCTATGCCATTTCCTCCGTGCTTTGGCTTATATGTTTAATATGTAAATAAGGTATTTTAATACTTACCCCAATTGTTAGCTCTCAGAAGCATTTTTCCTGAATGTAAATTTGGAAAATGACAGATGATGTGAAACAGCTTTTGTCTCTTTTTAATCTATTTTTTGTGATGTCATATTAAACATCTTCATGAAGAAATTTGATTTCCCCCGAAACACACTGTATATTGAACACTTTTGAGGGGAACTCATTTCCCGTCACAGCTGATTTCACTCTATTTGGAGATTTATCCTCATACAACAACAGAGTGAACGGTTTGAGACATTCATACGTGAAGTCTGCCATAAACACTGGAAGGGACAGGTTGAAATTTTCTTAGGAGGTCTGACAAATTTGGACCAACTCATAAATTAACCAGCATCATTATAAATAGCTGAAAACAGCTGCTTAGAAAAATAAAGTGTTAAAGTACGTGAACAAAGAAACATAAAATACTGAAAACTGTGTTACATTGCTCAGTAACTCGCTGACAAATCTTCACCTACGCTCTGCTACTGTGCTCCCATTTTGAAAAAGATAGGACAGAAAAAGAGGGAATGCAAGGAAGAAAGCAAGAGTTAGTGGATGCCTTGAAAGATGTTGAAATTTTAAAATGGAGAGAGACTGAAAAAGTTAGGAAATTAAATGTCGAGGTTAATAGGATGACTGGGAGGTTCTGAGTGATTATTTCATGGTCAGCTAGAACCGTGCTATCCAGTCTCCAGAGCAATCCCATCTCAACCATCAGGTTTCAGCAAAGGTATAGCAATAAAAAGGGAAATGGCGTGTTAAGGGGCATTTGGAAGGAAAGGAATTAATCCACCAGTGCCGAGTACAGGGGCACGATCACTTCCCTGCTCCTGCTGGCCACACTATTGCTGATACAGGCCAGGATGCCATTGGCCTTCTTGGCCGCCTGGGCACACTGCCGGCTCATGTTCAGCCGGCTGTCGACCAA